TAGAAATTTAGCCTTAATTTCTAGAAAAAATTTGGATCTTTTTTACATTTCCCTTAGCATACTTATCTTTAATGTACTTAATTTTCTTATGTTTTCTTGGATCTATGGAATTATGTTTATATTAGACATTTTAATGTCTTTTTGTAGAAATTCTATCATTTGTGTAACTTGTGAGTCTGTTTTTATTGACTAGGTTTTTTCCATAATTATGCACTGTGTTTTCTTCCATCTTTGCATGTCTGATTTTGTTGCTTTGTTTTGTCTTTTGTAATACAAATTTAGGGCCTTGCAGCACTCTTATTATTGAGGTACATGCCCAGCTCTAACTTGATACTTTCTTAGTAGATGCCAGATATTGTCAATGTTATATTGGTTAGGTGTTTTTTTAAGATCCCTAGAAACATTCTTAAATTCTATTCTATGAATGGACAAGTTATTAGGGAAGTACTTGATCCTTTCAAGGCTTATTACTAAGCTCTATTAGAAGGAACTGGAGTAATTTTTAAAATGGACCTTATTTGGTCCCTCTACTAAGGACATAACATTCTGAGGACTCAACTGATTTCCTGTATATTATGAGATTCTTTCTTTTGGAAGCATGAACTGTTCCCAGTCCTGTGTGAGTACTGGGAAGTTTTCTGTCTGTTCCTTTCAGGGATTTTACTTTGACTTGGGGGATTTTCTCACAGACGTAGTGATTGACAGTTCAATGAAGATTTGAGGGGAACCCTCTTCGTATTTCCAGGGCTGTCTTTGCAGCTCTCTTCTCCATGATAGAAATTTGTGAATTCTTGTCCCATTGGCTTTCCTGAATTCTTAACTCTGGCTCTTCAACTCAGGGACACATCCCTCTGTCTGGGTCTTCCTCTTGAGCCTGGAGCTATTTTAAAGCATAATTTGTTTATTTCTTTTGCCTTAGGGATTACTGTGCTGACCTGGCTTGCAGCCAGTGTCTGAAAACTATTGTTTTGTGTATTTTGTCCTTATTTAGTTGTGTAAGGCCAAAAAGTAAATCCAGCCCATTACTCCATCATTTCCTGAATTAAAGGTTCCCAAAAATTGTGTCATTGTTCTCTGTCTAAATAATTTTTAAAATGTTCTTTTTTGTTTAAATTTCAAGTATTAATAAATGTTTTAAAGGAATATTGGCTTACCTGTTGAAAATTTTAAAGTAACTTGTGTTTTTATCATGCTTTTATTTAGTCAGGGAACGAAGCTTGTCCCATTTCTTTTTTTGAAATAGTAAATAAATTTCTTTGTGGCCTAATAAGGTCTTGTTTTGTGATTTCCTTATATGCATTGTTTTGAAAAAATTTACTACATGTTTGTAGTACATACTGTTTACATGCCTGTGTGCAGTGCAGTCATGCACCTAACACACCCCAATTCCTTTTCTCATCCCCTTTCCCCCCTCTCCTCCTCTCTCCCTCCATCTTTTGATCCCTTTCTTATTTGAGAAAGCTCTATCTCCCTGTTTTCTATTATCTTTTTTTTTTTTTGTCTTTTTCCTTTTTATCGGTACCGAGGATCGAACTCACAACTGCCTGCTTGCAAGGCAGGCGCTTATGCCGCTGAGCTAAATCCCCAGCCCCTTTTATTTTGTTCTTTATAACTTGATTTTTTCTTTTTTTTTTTTTTGGTACCGGGAATTGAACGACCTTGTGCTTGCCAGGCAGGTGCTTACACCGGGGTTTATTGAGCTAAATCTCCAGCCTGATAACTTGAGTTTTCATATAAGATAAACCATGGGATATTCAAGCTTGTATGTTTGATTTATTTCATTTAGCACTATGGCCTCAAGTTCATCCATTTTCTTACAAGTCCCTCAAGTTTATTCTTTCTGGCAGAGTGGGACTCTATTGTGTATATATGCCACATTTTATCCATTCATCTGTTGGTGGACACAGGTCACTTTCAAGATTTAGCTATTATGAGTTGTGCTGCTATAAACATAGGTATACACTATCATTAGATTATGACTTTGTTTCCACAAGATCTGTAGAAGGGAAATAGCTGGATTGAATGGAATTTCAATTTTTAGTTTTTTTAAGAATCTCCATACTAATTTTCATCGTGGTTTTGCTGGTTTACATTTATACTGCCAGTGGAGAAGCCCCCACTCCTAACCACCTGAAACCTCACCAGTATTTGTTATTATTTGATTTCTCGAAGTGGCCATTCTTTCTAGGGTGAAATAGAATCTCAATATTGTTTTAATTTGCAATATTGAGCATTTCTTCATGTATTTATTGGTCATTAATACTCCTGTGTAGTGTCTAATACCCATATTATCCGATTTATTTTTGAGTTCTTTATGTATTCTGGGTATTAGTCCTCTGAGGAATATCTGGCAAAACTTTTTCACGTTCTGTAGGCTGTTTTTAGTCATTTTTATTTTAGTTTAGGATATGGTGAGAAATATGTGTCTAGATGCAGTTTTGCATGTGGATAGCCACTTTTTCTAAATCATTCATCAAAGAGGCTATCTCTTCTCCAATGTATGTTTTTGGTCCTTTGTCAAGGTGAAATCGTTTCTGCATTCTCCATTCTGTTCCCTTGATTCTCATGTCTGTTTTTGTGCTAATATCATGCTGCTTTTACCACAGTAACTTGTAGTATAACTCTGAGTCTGCCTCTTGCTTTGTTCCTTTAACTCAGGATTGCTCCTGTTATCCTGTGTCCCCTCTGGTTCTATATGAACTTTATGATGGTTTTCTCCAGTCCTAAAATGAAGAATAAAGAACACTGTTGATATTTTGATTGGAACTGTGTTGAAGTATGGTTATATTTTGGAAGTATGGTTATATTGACTGTGTTGGTTCTGCCTGTCCAAGAACAGGAATATCTTTCCATTTTCTGATGTCCTATTCAACTTCCTCTTGCAAAGTTCTAGAGTTTTTTGTCATAGATTTTTTTCACTTCCTCAGGTTAATTCCTAACTATTTGATTTTTTTCCCTGTAGTTCTACTGTAGATGGTATTTTCCCCCTATAATGGGGGAAACCAATGGGGTTATTATTAATGTACAAGGAGTGCCATTGATTTTTGTGTGCTGATTTTTATATCCTGCAATATTACTAAAATTGACTATTACTTCTAAGAATTTTAGTGGATTTTAGGGAGAAGGTCTTATATATATAGGATCATATCACCTGTAAATAATAATTTGACCTTTTGTTTTCCTATCTCTTTCTCTTTTTTTTTTCTTTCCTAATTGCTCTTGCTAATGTTTCAAGTACTATGTTGAACAGGAGTGGTGATAATGGCCATCCTTGTCATGTTTCTAATTTTAGAAGGAAAGTTTTCAAGTCCCCCCCCCTTTTTTTCAAAAATACATGGATATACATGGGGATGGTTAAACCTCAAGGCTTTGCAGATGCCTGATTAAGTAAACGTTCTATCACTGAGCTACACTGAGCTACATCCCTAGCTCCTATATATTTTAAATTCTTTGACTTTACTTAATGACTTTGAATCTATTTTAAAGTGACTAAAAAGTTTTTTAATTAGTATTAGTAGTATTATTCTAATAATCACTCTTATAAAATTTGAATTTCTTTGATTCTACCAGAACTCTGTGGAATATAACCCAAGGTACTAGCCACTTAATACCCCTTACTTACTTAGGATAGTTTCTATTTAATATCTCTTTAAAAATAGAAAATAAAACTAACATTCTTATGGAACTACTAATTGAAAGAATAATTGGCAGACCAATGCAGTCCTTTTTATATTTTAAGACAGAATGTCATCAAATTGCATCAGAAGTTGCCCTTGAATTTATAATCCTTTTGCCTTAGCTTCTTGGGTAGTTGGGATTATAGACCTGATATTTATTTAAGTGTTAAGGAATAACTAAGGTACCTTATAATATATATATAAAACTGTACTTTTGTGTATGAGTGGTGTGGGGGATCGAACTCAAGACCTTGTGCATTAAAACTCTATTTTAAATGAACCAGGTTAAGAAATTTATATCTTAAAGCAAAGTTTTATTTGTTTATGTTTTTAAAGTTTATGAACAACTATTATATATATTTACTTTTTATCTCACTTAAATGCATATTCTTAGTGATATTACAGTTTGACAAATAGTAATATTGATATGTTACTTAATAACAGACTAACAATTAGTTTTGTTAGCTCTGTAATTGAGAAATATATCACAAGAAGGGCCTAAAACTTTAGTTTGGAAACCAATAATAGGAAACAGTCTCTGCCAAGGAGACTGAAATAGAATTCTGGATCAATTCTGACTAGTTTCTATACAGAGCCAGCTGTTTTTACAAGCTGTGTACATTACCTCCTAATTCCAAAAATTGTACAAATGCTTCTACACCTGTCAGCCCCCATCCCATTCGGCTTTCCACCTAATTCCTTATCTCCAAGTTTCACAGAAAGATCTATAATTTTAAGATATTTTTGCTCTGTGATTATAGGTGTATGATAATCTTTAAAACATTTTTGGTATTTTTTAGCCCTTATAATTTTTATTAAAGAAATATAATACATCCTGACTAGAATGCATATTGAGGAAAAACTTTATTTCCAGATGAAATAATTATATCCTCTAATACATGATTAAGCTGTTTAGCTTTTTTGTGTCAGTGTTTTCCATGTTCTTTATAATTTTCCCTTTATAACTATAAATGTTGGTCTAGGTTTAAAATACACCATATTAAAACTTCACTAACTTTTCATAAAATTATACTGTTTAAATTATAAACATTTTAATCCAAATCTTCCTTATTTTTTACATCTCAAGAGTAAGTTCTTAGTACTTGCACCACTTTATTATAATTGGGAAAAGTATCTTCCCTGAGGAGTTAACACATTAGCAGGTGAATCTCTTAACACTATCTGCATGCCTTTGTCAGAAATCTCTATTTACATTTTAAGCAAAGATGGTGAAGACAGTTTAATCAGTTGACAAAGCATTATGCATTAAGTTAAAAATTTAAGGGAGAAAAAGTAATGAAAAAAATGTTTGCTTCTCTTTAGGCTTTTTCATTTTTCACCCAAGAATTAATTTCGCCCCAGCTTTACTGCCTTACACACATTCTTGTGACATTACACACTGGGAGGGAGGGAAAGAGAGAGCCGTGACTGTGGTGTGTGTCTAAAAGCGCATGTTAGGAGAGGAGGAGAAGAATAAGCAAGCTGGTTTGACCAGAAACAGAACTGCCTGTGACAGATTAAGAGACAAGGCTTGGAATCTGAGAGCAAGCAGAGTGGAAATTTACAGCTGCTCTGTGTGAGCGTTCAAGTGATCATTTTCTACTAACGTTTTCCGGTGGTGACTGTTACTCTTCAAAGACAGACCAGAAAGTGGAGACGCAATTGTGCAAACTCTTTTTCTCTGCCATGCTTTGGTAGCAGGAGGCTTTCTCTATTAAATGGAAGATAAAGACTACTTCCTCCAAAGTGTTTTGAGCCCGGGAAAGAGCTGTCTTCAGCACCTCACCATGGATCTCCTTTAGACAAGCCTTGGTGTTTCTGTACCATTCGGTGAGTATCGACCAAGTTATGTCTACCGGTTTGGGCTGTAGACAAGGAATTAATGTGGTACACTTCATTTTTTATTGGGGTTCTAGGGTTATGCTAATATAGTTAAGAGTTAGCTGTTACCTTGTTTTTTAATACATGATGAACGCTGTTACTAGGAAAGGCTTGAAAAAACAACAACTACAAAACAATGCTTCTCTGTTGCCTAAGGCACTTGAACCATTACCAACTATTCTGTGTCCACGGAATATCTTATTTTGGAAATGGGTTTTTATTTACATAGAGTTTCCAAAAATAAAATAGTGACAGTATACTATTTTTCATGCCTGTCTTTTAACTGCATGAAAATTCTGAAGTTATCTTTTTCTGTACATTGTCCATAAATTTAAAGTTAACAATGTGATGTTTGACGTTATAAGTTATTGTAAATTGCATAATTTTCTTATACCTCAAATTAAAATATTGATGCTATTAATTTAAAAGGATATACAATTTTAATGTTGACAGCTACTTTGATATTCATTAGGTAAATCCTGATTTTTTCAAGGTTCTAAAATGAAAATAAAAATTAGACAATTTATCTGTAAAATTTGCCATTTGATATAAAATGAATGCATACAGATTTCTAAGTGAAGGAATAAAGTAATTATTTTGTGCTTAGGGCTGATACTAAGCTTTCATATAATCATACTGTTCTGTTAAAGAGCTATTATAACCAAGTAGGGGTCCGTGTGTGTGTGTGTGTGTGTGTGTGCGCATGCATGTATGTGTGTAAGCACAAGAGCAGAGAAAAGAAAAATAATTTTTTAATTATATTTGAATTATATCCCAGTGCCTTCATTTATATCATCTTTGCATAGGAGATTACATGATAAATATACATACTAAATGATATATATATGCTTAAAGACATGGACAGAAAGCATACTGTTTTTATCTTCTTAGAAGGAAAGAAGGAAATGTGTATTGGTAACTGCTAATTTAACTCCCTGAATACCATATTGAGCAAAGTTTTCAACCTATCCTGTGCTAGTTTCAAGAAACATGCCCTTTGTCATTGATTCCAGTGACCAAGTAAATAGGCTAACATGAAAACTTTTGCAGCATCAGTAAACATATTAAAAGGGTTTGTACTCTGGATATAAAATGGCTATGCTTTCTCTAGTATTTCCTCTGTGTACCCAGGAGCCTGTAGAACAGGTTCTGTTTTGTAGAGTCACATCTGTGGGATCTTGTTTGCTTGTTTGTTTGTTTTGTTTTTGCCTATTGACCTGTGTATTAGAAGCAACTTAGCTGGTTTGTAGAAGTCTTTTTCTGGACCTGTACCTTATACTTAAAGTCCAAAGTAAATGTAATAGAGATAATATCACCAACCAACTTCTAATTCTTCACATAATTTCCCATATTCAGTCCTTAAATGGATGAAAAATTTGCATTCAACTTAACATTCTTTGGGAAATAAATTTCTTTTATTTTAAACTACTCATTTGCTGGTGTTACCTTAGCGATGGTACCATTTCTTAAGCCCACAGGAATGTAAATATAGAAACCAAGAGTAAGTCATTTGCAATTTACAAGTGTTTTGTATTTTAGAAGTTTGTTTCAGTGGGTTGTTGGAAACTTAGAATCCATTTTCTTTGGGAAACAGTGTATCAAGTGACTTCTGGGCTTTTACTATAACTTAAGGATATATTTTACTCACACAACAAAAAAGCTATCATCACTTGAGAGATATTAGAAAATCTATTCTAGTATGAAACTAAGCATAAAACAATTATGTTGAAGAAGACATTATTTTTATTTATCCTAAATGTTAATGCTTGAAGAAAAGGATTAATACTAATATTAATAGTAAGTGAATGGTATTTGTAAAGATGCTTATAATACAGGATTTTTAGTTACTTCCACAAGCTTAATGGTTAATTTACTCCTTACGAAATCTCATCTAAAGTTGAAATTAGTAATCTTTCCTTACTACAGGAATATATATAAGCCATTACTTTTATGTTAGCCATTCCTGAGCTCTGGTCCATATAGTAGGCACCTGAAATAGCTATTATAGCATGACTGAACTGTGTCTTTGGTTCACAGAAATGGGATGGTAGGTAGTCAGAAAGAAAAAGAGAAAGAGGTTTCAGGGCATGCGTTTCAGTTTTTGGCATTACTTTTAATTTTATACATAAAATTTAATTTTATAAATTTTATGCATTTCTTATAAGAAAGAGATGACTTGACAAGAACTGATCGATTTGTGAGCTGTGGATTAGGTAGGTAGGCCTAATTTAATGGGGGAAAAGAAAGACCTTGGTGTAGCTTGGTGGCAATCCTGAGTGAGGGAGGATAGTAGTGACAGGGAAACAGTTGAAAACCTAAGTATCTTGAGTACGTGAGACATTCTGGAGTCAGTCCCAACACAAACTCAGAAGCGTTATCTATCTGCATTTGTTTACTAGGTCCAGTATGAAGAAATATGACTCATTTGAAAAACTTAGATTAAGTCCTTTTGAGTTAATTTTATTTTTGTTAGCTCTGAAAGTTGCTCTTAAAGTAGCAACGTATAAAACTTAAAAGTAATGCAATAAACTTATACAATAAAAGAAACAATATAATGCATTCAAGTTATATTTATCTTTGATGATTTTTTTATGATAGGACAAGTTTTCTGTTTAATCAAGAGACATTTTCTTCTTTGTATTCCAAATTGTGTTTAAAAGAAAGTAATGAGTTTGAGTAGACCTAAATGACATATAATAGCTTCTTAATAAATTTTTGTTGAATGAATTCATGTGTATTTGGACAATTTCCTGTTGTATGCATATACCTGTATATTTATAATTGTGGCTTAAAGATAATAGTTAACTGATAGTCCCTTAGCAATAGAAAAAGTCTACTAAAACTACATTAACATGCCTGTTGGTTATGATCATACTTAATGTTCCACTGGTAACTAAAGTAATTGACTTAAACTGAAATCTTTACTGCCTATGAATGAGTAATATACTCTCTAATTTTGTAACTTACATGTCTTAAAATTCCAGCAGAAGCTCATTAAGCCTCTTCCAATTTGGAAGTAATACAGGATTATATTATTTTCCAGCCAGAAAAACTGAATCAACTGTGGATGCCTCTAGGATAAGAAATAACTTCAATTAAATCACATTTCATCTCTATAATCCCATGTTAAGATTTTTATTGATTGACTATTGATAGTCACAGAGGCCTATAGAAGCTATGAAATAGTTATATTTCAGAGTATACTTAGAAAATTTCAACAATAACAATATCTAACCAAAAATTTAATGGATATATACTATGTATGTGTTTATAGGAAAGACTCAAAAAACTGAATTATGAATGTCTCTTCATAATTCTGTTGCAAAGAGTAACCATTTGTGAGTTTTGGTGAGATTTGGTGCTTTGATTATAGTTTGTACTTTTTAAGAATACTGATCTGGCTTCAGATCTCTGCCCTAAAATGAAATTCTTATATTAAAATTATCATGATAATGGGCTGGAGATTTAGCTCAGCGGCATAAGCGCCTGCCTTGCAAGCAGATGGTTGTGAGTTCGATCCCTGGTACCGATAAAAACGAAAAAGACAAAAAAAAATTATCATGATATTATCATTATTAACAATCACTAATAGTTAATAAATGTAGAATTTTTTTAGCTCCAACAAATGCTTGGAACTATAAACAGAAACATTACCTAGGGAGAGAAGTGACTAATGAATGAACCTAATGGCTGAGTAACTAGTTTTTTCTGGAACAGTCATAAGGCCCTTGTATCAGTAGATGCATATCTAACTTCATACATTAATTCTGTTTTAAAGTTTACTTCAGTGTTACAGTGCATTAGAACTAAACATTAATGATTAAGGGACATGGTTTTCTCTTATAAAAGAGCATTAATTTGATATGTCTGGCCAAGACTTCCAGATGAATGAGCATACATAAAAAGCTTCTCACAGATTTTCCATTTCTGTATAAATTGTCCATTTTTAGAAAACTCCTTCAAACTTTACCAACAAAATAAAGCTTATAAAACTAAAGTCATTCTTAGTCATTTTGAACTGAGAAGGAGGATCGTCAGGGAAAGTATACTTTATTGTCTGTATTTGCTAGATTTCACTTAGGTCTGTAGGAGTTCAAGTACAGAATTCAGTTGTGGTGGCCTCCAGGTACATTTAGGGTGAATACTGAAAAATAGAAAAATTGGAAGAAGATACTGATTAAGAGATATTTTGAAATCAATATGCTTTGTAATAAATGTGATATCATAATTTATATAACTATAATATACTTTTTAATTTGTTATATGAAGACAGTTCACAATTACAGTTTTGGTATAGGAGTCTTCTTGGATAGAGCAAATACAATAGAACATTTAGGGTTACATTTTTATTTTAAAACTTACATATGAACAATGTATCCATTTTAAGAGACTAGTTCAGTTAGTGTTGACATGTATATTCGCGTGACCTCCATCCAACCAGGACTTTAAAAATTAATCTTAAAGGATAAGTTATGTGCCATTGATGCATTTTTATTGCTTTTATTTCTGTGAGTTCTATTTCAAATACAGATAAAAGAATGTTAATCAAGGCCAGGGATTAGCTCAGTGGCCTAAGCGCCTGCCTGGCAAGCACAAGGTTGTAAGTTTGATTCTGGTACAAAAAAAAAAGTTAATCTTGAAACCTTTCTGAAGTTTTTTGTAACATGGTGGTAGGTTTATTTTAATTTTTTGTTGCTGTCATTTTTGTTTGTTTAAAAGAAGATTCATGTGTCTTAAGTTTAAATTAACAAACTGTAAGATACAATTTTAGAAATGTTTTGTTGTTGAATTTGAAATAAACTTATGTGAAAGAAATTGAGGTTTCTTTTTGAATTGATTTTCTTACAGGGAGTTAGCGGTTTGGGTTTATATGTTTTTTAAAAATATAGTTTATCTATGGAAATTTTGAGATTCCTGTTGATTTTAAAGCTAAATTTTTTACTTCCTTA